TATGTTGTTTTATTGGATAAATGGATTAATTTAATTGTCTAAACAATGTAAATTAACGCTTAAGTAATTATTAAATAATAATTATGAACCTTGTACAATTTATCTGCAATGTAGGTTAATTACTTGGAATGTAAGTTAACTGCATGCTATCTAAATTATTATATTTGTTTAAATAGATGCAAATGAAGTTGTTAAATAGATGAATTGATTAATTTAATAGTTTTAACAATTGAATTAAATGTTTAAATGATTTTATTCATGATTATAATTTTTGTATAATTTATTTGAGATGTAGGTTAATTACTTGAGATGTAAGTTAACTACATGCTATTTAAATTATTGTATTTGCTTAAATAAATACAAGCAGTTATCTGTATGATTCATATCATGCTATGTATGGATTAATGGATATGCTATATTATTTGTTGCATCATTTATTGGATTGTATGGTTTAATGCACTGGTATGGGACGGTGGCATTCTAGGGACGGATTAACCAAAGAAGTTAAGTCCTACCTATATATTTATGGATTGTATGGTTTAATGCACCGGTATGGGACGGTGACATTCTAGGGATGGATTAGCCAAAGAAGTTAAGTCTTACCTATTTATTTATTTATAAGGGAATAGATTAACCATAGAGTTAAGTCCTCCTTATTCATGTCAGGCTACTGTGTCAGATGGATGGCATTTGTTTTGTACAGATCTTTATATATATGATTATGGTGCCATGATATGAGTTTAAGTCTCAGGATCATGGTTAGGGTGCGTATATTGCCTAGGATGGATAATTGGATATAGTAGACATCTGTGTATCTTGGTAGGTCTAGGCATTCATGCCCATTTCATGTGCGATTTGCATGTTGCCTTCTATTCAGGTTGAGACAGACCAATAGTCCAGTGAGCGTCCTATAGTGTGTATCTATATATGTATACGGACTACTAGTTATTGTTGGATTGACTATGATGTATAAGTGTATCGGATCTTTGCTTGGACTGTAGTATAGTAAAACTTGTTTGTGGGCCTGACCCACCATTATTTTTTAGGTGTTCGTCAGGAGTAGGGATTGTTCGTGCTGAGCAGGGATCACCTACTTCATTCTTTCGGATTATCTACATAAGAGTTTTCTTTATGATTTAGTATCTAGTTGTAGACAGTTGTTTATTATTGATTATTGGTTTGGAATTTTCTAGGGGTCCACATAGTATGAATTCCTAAGTTGTATTATTGGAGGATTAATTGTATCAGAATAATTTATTATTTAATGAAATTTTATTCTGAGGTTTCAATTAATGGAATATCATTTTAGTTTTCTTTCAGAAATTATTTATTCTTATTTATCATATTTGTATTCTGTATTCGATTATTGCAGATTTGTTTTTGATATCATCGGGTATTTGGGCGTGGGTCTGGCCAACCTGCATCCGGAAATCTAAGGGTATCACAAAAAAACCCCCTATATTTTTTAATTTGTGCAAATAAGGACAAATATTTTATTTAATCCAAATTAAACAATGAAATGACCAAAGTGCCCTTACAATATAAAATATATAATATATATACATATATATTTTATTTGTAAAGACCCAAACCCGGAGTCTGAATCACTAACCGGGTCATGACCTGAACCGGGAACACCAAGGGTAAAATGGTCTTTTTGACCAAAATAGTGTACTAAAGGCTATAATGATATCATAATAATCATTACTAATCAAATTGGCCCACATATAGGTGGAAAAAATCAACTCTGTCCTTAAACCAGTTCAATTAGGGTTATAAAGGTAATTCGGTCTTTTTGGACCATGCAGTGCATTGGGGACCTTACAACTGCTATCCAGGTCATATCTAGTCATTTGAAGTCACTTGTAAATATGACAAAAGAACTTGGTTTAAAGTCGCTTGTTTTAGGGTTAAAAAGGGTAAAAATGACTTTTTGAACCATCCTATTCGTATCCGGACGCGGCCATGGTGTTCCATACATCCTATGGGCCATGTATTGAGTATTTTAATAATTTAAATTTTATATATATATATATATATATATATATATATATATATATATATATATATATATATATTTGTAAATAGGTCATTAAACGGGTTACACATGTAACCCGTTTAATAAACAGGTCGGGTTAGTGTTGAGAGTTTCTAACAAGATTATTAAACGGGTCATGTTCGAAATGAGCTATTTAGTGTAATACCCTTAAGTTGACACGACACGATTACGACTCGTAAACACAAATTGCCACCCCTAAACTCGTAAATCAACACAATTAGCTCATAATTTTAAAATGGGTAATTTACACAAACCTCCGGCCATATGGTTTATCATAATTACAGGGACCTCCCCTCAGGTTTGGAAAATTACTCAGACCTCTCCTAAAAATGAAAATAATCTATACGGACCTCCTTTGTGTGTGATGGACTGTTAAATACACTAACGGACCTGTCAAAATTACTGATCGCGACGGCGATCAGCAAAAATAGGAAATTGGATGAGTTGGGTTACATTTTTTTATAAATTTATATATATATACTTGAATATTGGGTTAAATTTGATTTTGTAAAATAATTTGGCAAAGATTCCTTGTAAGCTTTGCCTATCTTTCTCAATTTTGTTTCGACACATAATTTTTCATCTAGGAAGACCCAAAATTGAAGTGTGTGTATGTAGTTCAATTCTGAATTCCAAATTCTATCTAACTACCATAAGTTTATTTCTTGTTTTTGAAGTTTTAGCTTTGTTTTTCAACTTCTAAGATCACAATGGGTTTGTTCCTCAGTTGTTTTTTTAGGGTTTATGTTTCTGGGTGCAAGTTGTATGTTGTGGTGATGAATTAATTATTACTCTAATTTTTATTTGAGATAGATTAGATAGCCGTGTTTATGTTTGAGTTTGACTTTCATGGTTGCTATCTATCTAATTGCCGGCAAATTGTTAGTCAAGTTGTAAAAAAAAAAAAATATCAAGTGTGTGTGTATTACCTATAATATGTAATTATACAGAGGCAAGGGTATTTTAGAAATTTTAATAAAATTTGTACATGATGTCATCAATTTTCGTCATTGACTGTTCGTTGACTCTAACCGAAGAGAGATCCATGTAAGATATTTTTATTTTTAAGGGAGGTCCGAGTAATTTCTCAAACCCGAGGGGAGGTCATGTCATTATGACAAATCATAGAAAAGGTTTGTGTAAATTACCCTTTTAAAATTTAAAGTAAAAGAAATTCCATAGAATTTTAGGTAGTTGAGCTTCTAATTCTACGCATGCACAGGTATGAAGGTTCCAAAATTCAATGAATCCACTTTTCTTGCTCTTCACCAAGAAAATTTATAGCTGAAGTTGAATTGTGAGTTCACTTGTATTTCAGGAATTGGAAAGTTACGAGGCCACTTCAAAATCTGTCTGACCAATTCTCTTTTATGGCATGGCAAAGTTTCTACGTACACCCTCAACACTGCGACAACTTCTTCTTCTTCTTCTTCTTCTTCTTCTTCTTTTAAAGGTAAATAAGATTAAATTGATAAAAAAAAACCAAGGGTACAAAAACATAGTTAGCCCAGGCTAACCAAACAAACCAAGCCCAGATACAAGGCCCAAATATTGAAAGTCCCAAGCAACCCAAAGATATAACAAAGAGCCCCTACGGAGCAACAGAATGGCAGTTATCCAAATCAGGATGCAACACTGCAACAACTTGGAAGGTGATTTTCTTCCAGAAACCCCGGAATTTAGCATGTTAAATGAATATGGAGTTATTTCAAGTTTTACACTTAGGCCGATGTGTGAAGAAACGATATATATATATAGCATGACATAACAAGCCACCTTTTCTTAAATAATGACAAATTGGGTGGAATTTAATTTAGGAAGGCGATATTTGCTATTCACTTTTCTCTAATTGTACTCCACTTAATTTTTTCTTTTAAATGAAATGACAAAAAGATCCTTAAATTCATTAATGCACTATACCTTATTTTATAATGCCATAACTACCCTTTATACAACTTAACTTCATTTTACCTTCTTTAGTTCCTTTACTTTTTTTGTCCAGTGCTATACTTTCCTTTCTTTTCAAAAGTATTCTCAAAGAAGATAATATATTCCATAATGATAATTTTATTATTGACCGTCAAAAGAGATAATTCATTCAATAGTGACTATTTTTATATATTTTTTTTGGGTGCAATCAAAACAAATAATTTATTTAACAAAATTTTTTTTTTTTTCAGTCCTATCAAAGGAGGTAAAAAAAAAAAATTGTGATTTTTTATGGGTTCCTTCAAAAAAAAATAATTTATTCAATAGAAATATATATATTGGGTTTTATCAAAAGCGATAATTTATCCAATAGAAATATATATATATTTTAATTATCTTTTTTCGTTCTTTTTTTTTTTTTTATCTTGAAAAAAGAGATAATTTCTTCAATAAATAAATTTTTTTGGGTTTTTTTTTGGGTAAAAAGAGATCATTTTTTTAAGTGTTACATTTTTTTTTGGTCGGGTCAGAAGAGAATTTATTCACCATAATTTTTCTTTTTTTTTATCTTGGAAACAAATTTTTATTTTTATTTTTATCTTGCCGAAAGAGATCTAAAATATTAAAGATTAGAGATAAGGAAAGAAAATATAAAAGGAAAGTTATGTCATTCAAAAAGTAATAATTATTTATTTATAAAGTTAAGAATATAATTGTCATTTTATATAAGATTGTAGTGCGTGCATAGAGAAGCAATTGACCGAATGTTTGTAGCAATTGAAAGCATAGAGCAAACCACCTTGGGTAAATATTGTAAAAATAAGGAGCATAAAGAAATGAAAAAGAAAAAGATAAAAGATCCTCATTTATTCGAGGATGCATACGATACATGACTGTGAACTTCAAAATGTATATGTATAAGGTTATTTCTCATCAACCAACAAATGTAATAGAACCTGTCAAAACACTTGACAGACGTTATAGAAACTAAACATGTAGAAACAAGTACGTGAAAATACTTGCAGTTATAAATAGACCTCATGATACAGTTAAATAACCAAAATATTTCTGATCTTTCAGTGATATCCAACGGGTGCTGGAGCAACATTCAGCTCATGTCCTTGATAATGTATGTCCTGCCATTCATTCAAATAAACCAGTAAGCATAGATATACAAGTCAATTTAAATAAACTCCATCTTTCTTAATTAACTACATGAAATTCTATTACGTGACAGACTTAGGTATAGAATATGTACCGATGCAAAGTGGTTAACATCGCGGTGGTGAGCTTCATCTGCTCTTACAACGAAGACCACATCTTTGAGAGTGGCGTCCGGTGAGAGGCGCCAGTAATCGATGGCTATGGCCGGCGCAGGGACATTCTTTATGTTGCCATTATCGATCTCCTTGAGAAACTCGGTGTAGGAATGAACGGCCTCCTCTTCCAAATAACCCACAATGCGGTGAGCCAACTTTGGGGAAACCAAGTAGGCGGTGAAATAGGCATTGAAGAAAACACCCTGTACCCCGAAAACAAGAGCGCGCTCGTACCAGTTGGGCATGGCTACCTCCATGAATGTCAGGAGGTGCATCCTTTCATTTTCAGCTTCTTCAAGCAGAGCTCTAATCCAACCCCCGCTGTGCTCGAACCGCCTCAATGACTGGCAGTGGAGCAGCAACCCTCCCACCATGCCCGGGACTGCAGCGATTGTTTCTAGCATCATTACTCGATACACAAAGTTTCTCTGTAATCATACACATGGATCATATATATAATTCATTAAACTGTGATTTGAATCAAAAAAATAAAATAAATATATCCTAACTTTGAAAACAGAGCAAAGTAGATGTCCAAGACAACATTCAAAACTAGAACAAACTATATATATATGTACCTTAAAGAATAGGTCAGTGGGGATTCTGAGAACCTTGACTGTCCAATATGCCACTTTGTCCAAGAATTTTTCAGGCTTATGGTGCTTCTTCAGATCTATTGATACGTCGGACTTGTATGTCTCCCATGGCTTCATTCAATATTTATCCAAAAAATCATCAGTCACAAATAACACATATATATACATTTAAATATACTCCCTAGTCCCAAAATAAATATTTCTTTTATAAAACTGTTAAAAGTGACGTGGTTTTCAGAACATAGAGAATATATAAATTAAAGAGTTATTTATAATATTACATTAAAAACATTTATTTAATGACACACAATGATATATATATATCACCACTAAAAAAATATATGTTGAACAACATTATTATCTATTATTTAAACTAGTGTGTTTTTGTGCCTAGTTTATTTATAGAAGAGGGGTGCATGATTGTGATTTAGTTCATACCTTGAAACAAGTCCACAGCCATTCTGTTCCGTCCTCCTTAGTGATCTTTCGTGGCTGAATGCCCCAGTAACTCACGATAGTCTTGTCATTCGAACCACCATGGGTGCCGCCTGTTGTCGGACCGGTCTGCGCTTTCTTCTCCTCACCGACGGCCATTGTACTCTCATTCCGTAAACCCATGACCGGAACCCTAAACAACGTCACAATTGTCCTCTCCGGTTTAGCATTAAGAAAGCATGTGACCGACTCATTAGCTGCGGAACGGACTATTGCAGTTGAGAAAAAGTGTGGGCCTGCATGACCCATTGCCGAACGGACGACCCTCGTCGCGCTACGACTCATCATCATCATTAATAGATATTCAGACCAAGGACGTAGAAGATGAATAATTAGCAAGGTAGATGAAAGCTAGAAACACGTTGAGCTAGTAGTAGTTTGGAACGAAATTGAAGATTGTATAGAACGTTCTGGTGTTTTGTTTGTTGTTGGATGTTGAGATGAATTTGAGAGGGTTTAAGGGAGGGTTTATATAGTGGTAATTGTGTGTGTGTGTTTCTATATCGAAATGTTGACTACTGTTCGTTCAAGCCTTTTTTCTTTTTGTGTTTTTTTTTAATGGTAAAAATAAATAAATAAAAAGAAAAAGAAAAAGTATTAATGTACGACTTGGTGTGCCGATGGCAGCTGTATATGAATGTTTTTGAATGCTTCGCAACTGTAACATTTTCTTCTTGGGTGCAATATATAATAATGTATAAATAGTATTAATGTATGAGTTGTGCTTAAATATTTTTTAATTTTCATTACTATTAATATAAAAATTATTTTTATTTATATAATTTGATTATTTTTATACTCCGCAGCAACTTTCTTTTTTTATCAAACCATATCTAACGTCCAGTATAGGCGGAATACTATACTGTAGTTGATTTTTTTACAAAAATGCCTATCTAAAAGGAATTTGAGCAGGGGCATTTTAGTAATTAGAGTTGATAGTTTCTAGATGAAAATATATCATTAAATTCATTAATTACTACAGGAAAGAAATATTTGAATTTTCTTGGGGGACAGGGTTTAGAAAAGCAAAAGATTAATTAGTGGAGGGGTGTGATGAGGTCAAAGTCTTGGTCGACGGTCATTTTATTACAACTAAAGGAAATACCCTTTTTGTTTTTTATTAATAGTTTTTTTTTTTTTTTACATGTCCTAAATTAATTATTCTCTTTAAAAAGTCGAAACATACTTTTTTTTATATTTTTATTATTATCCTTTATCTTTTTAAAAAAATTTAACTTTATAATTATATATATTTAAATTAAAAAAATAATTTGATAATTTAAAAAAAAAATAATACATTAATTACATGTTTCTTTAAAAAATTATAAAAATCAAAAATAAATAATTAATAAAAAACGAAGGTAGTATATTGTATTGTGTGCGCATGTATATATATGTTTTTTTTAGTTGGTTAAAGTATATATATGTCGGTTCCACAAAAAAGGAATGATTCTAACTTGAATGCCTTTGCTGGTCCAGGAGAGATTAATCTGGGACGAGACGCCAGCCGCCACGAATTTAATTGGCAACTGCGACACCATTCACCCAAAAGCGTGTTGCGGTCACATCATGAACCACATGCATTCACACTTTCCAAAACTCTCCGCCCCCAGTCGATGTGGATAATACAGTACGAACGTAACAGGAGTTAAAAGAGTTCGAATTTAGATTATAAAAGAACCAACAAGATTAATTCGTTTATTTAATTATGTCAGATTAAAATTAAGGTGTTCAATTCGTATAATTTATTTATGACCCATTTAACTCAATATATTATAATCATAAATATGACCTATATAATATGTTACCTGTTTAAACTTATTTACTATTAATAGTTAAGTCATTTCAATATAAATCTTGTTTATACCTTATAATTTTTTTTTTTTTTTGAATATTTAGGTTAATTAAGATAATTTTTTTTCTATTATTTAGTATTTGATTAAATGTTAAATGTTAAATGTTAAATGTCTCATTTTGATAAACAGATCATTAAACGGGTTAACACGTTTACTTGTTTAATAAACAGGTTGGGTTAGTATTAAGGATTTTTGACACGATTATTAAATGGGTTGAGTTTAGATTTACCTATTTAGTATAATAACCTTACATCGACACAACACGAGCATGACCTACTAACACAAAGCCACCCCTACCCCGCAAACAATGCGAGCTTTTTTTTATTCCCTTTACTTTTTGGAAAAAACTTTACCCAAATATATATATATATATAGAACAGGTAGTAATTAAAATAATGATTAAAGTTTGAGAGAACAAATTATTATATTAAGATGTAGTTATGAGTTTGTGAAGTAACAATCCATTTGTGTAACAATAATAATTTTCAACATTCGATTAGCATGTTATTGGAAATTCACAAAACTTTATCATAATTTTTAATATTTTTTTATACTTTTTCCGTTTCATATTAGATGTCCATGTTTAGAAATTGGGGTTTTTAAGAAAACATACCATTAATGCATTGTTCCCTTTTAAAATTACCAACTTATCCTTTTTATTTTAGATATGTATATTTACTTACTTAGAAATTTTTTGAAAATATGAAGGATAATAATGGAAAGATAAAGCTTATTTGCTTTGACTTTTCAAAGTGGATAATTAATTTGACACATCTACAAATGAGATAGTAGACTATGGGACAGAGATAATGTAACACCCCCACATTTTTCACGCATAAGTTGATCAGGCTTATACACGAAAAACGAGGGATATCAAAAACAATTGGCAATATACGAGCATGGAATACAAAATGATGGAAATAAAAGAATTTAGACAGGAAAGAAACATTAAATAATACAACATCCATCCATCCTTTATTTAATACAGTACTTCATTACAATTTGAAAATCCTACGTCAGGGATCCCTAAATATAACCCTGAGAGTTCAACGTCAAAAGTAAATAAAAACTGAAACTGAAGTATTACATAAAACTTCTACCCTGCACTGGATCGTAAGAGTAGATGAGTTCGGATGATGGTCCCACACTGCTAACCTCAGCCTTGAAACGGATACTGACCGTATCCTGAAATAACAACAATGGTGGGTCAACCCCACGAGCAAGTCCTCTCTACTATGACCCAAATCAGAGAATCAAATAAATTAATCATTATGAATCGGATGAGTACTATATCTGTATACATCCTACGGGAACTATCCGATGTATAACATGACCTCAACCAGAATAGACGGTGATCACTTAGACTCACACTAGGTGGTTAAGTGTCGCCTTTCCCTACCCGGGAAATCAGCTATTATACATGGTGCACGGTACTGACAACACAGACTATAACGAACTATACAGTGATAACACCTCGCAAAGTACTAATGAATATACTGAGCATATAAATTAGGCAACACATGCCAACAATATTAAGAAATATACCGAGTATGTCAATTAGGCAACACATGCCAATAATATTAAACCACATACCCCGACAGCCACACATCTGTCTATCGCAACGAATGCATAAGGTATAAATGAGTCTAAACTTATTAGTCAGCTCACATGGTTCTATATGGCAACACATCCATATAATATAAATGCGACATAATAAACAGTCCATTTATTCCCTGAAATGCACACAGCATAATCATCATGGTTTATATACGATTAACAGTATAAATATTCCATAATATATAATGGGTTATTTATATGAATAAAACCAAGCACTAATTAATTTAACATTAATGGTTATTACAGTTTACTAAAATAATACCATTAATAGTCGTTAAATCAATTACATATGTTTACTAGCGATTCGCACTTTAACTGATACAATTAATATTTAGAAATATTAATCGGACAATTATAATAATTAACGAGAAATAAAATAATAATATAATGTCCCGTTAATTCCAAAAATGCCAACCCGAGGCCCCAAAATGTATAGTGAAGGTCCTGGTAATGACAAAACAGTCCCTAGGGGTACTCTGGACTTTTCCAGCAGCTGCAGAGGCCCTTCACGCGCCCCCACGCGCCTCCCAGAGCTCCCCACACGCGCCGCCAAGCTTTCCCCCTCTCCCACGCGCCTCCACGCGCGTCTGGCGTCAGCCACGCGCGCACACGCCCTCCCACGCGCGTCTGGAGCGTTCCACGCGCGCGCACGCGCTCCCACGCGCGCGTTGATGGCTTCCTGTTGACGTGGCGTCCTCCGGTTGGTTGGCTGCATCAGCTTTCCTACATGCACGCCACACCGGATCAATCCACCTACATCTCCTCCATCCAACGTTCACGGATCCGGGTGTACCGCGGTAACATGGACCGCGGTGCACCGGATCAATCGCTGCTATTTAATGGTCCAGATGCGCGCGCATACCCTCCTATGGTGCGCCGCATCACACCGGATCACTCCGGTCGTCTCCCCCATTGCCGGCGACCGGAAAACTCGCCGGAAGGTCGCCGGAAATTGCAGAAAATGCCCGGAAAAATCTAGAAAATTCTAGAAAAATCCCTAAAGTCTTATTTAATTATTTTCAGCTATATTTTAATTACATAGGCTAAATAAATAAATAACTAACCACTTTAATAATTAAAACACATTATTTTAATAAACTAAAATAATTTATTGAAACTTCTAGCATGGTTTCTAGTCTAAAAAAAAAACCCGAAATAAATTAAATGAATAATTTATGGATTCAAAGGGGAAAAGTAGATAATAACTTGCCTTTTTGGATTTAAAATAAATCCGCCGGTCTGCGCGTAGTCGGGTAAAATTGCCTACACCGGTCCAAGCTTCTTTCTCTTTCTCTTTTCCTTTCACTCTTATAAAATAGCTCACTAGAATTTATACTTTGCTTCTAACTCCCTTTTTTTTTCTTCTAAGGTAAGTTTAGCTAATTTATATACAAAATATATAATATAAATATTACAAATATCTAATTTTTCATCTACTAACCATCTTCCCAACCATAAGGCTTCAATTCCACCCATAACCATTGATGCAATCCTATCCTAATCTCTAATTTCATCATGACATTGGTTTAATACTATTATTATTATTATAACTATTATTATTATTATTACTAATATTATTATTATTAAACTTTTATAATTATTATTATTATATTATTATTATTATTATATTATTAAACTAATATAATTATTATTATTACTAAATAATACATTATATCATCATAATACTATATAACACAAATATAATACTTTAATTAACTAATAATGATTAATATAAGCATAACCAACAAATTAAATTATTAATAATAATACATGCATAATTAAATGAATAAATTTACTATTTTACCATACACAATTAATTTACATGTACCATTAAATGAACTTAATATAATAATGTAGTATGCACAAATAAATAAAATTAATTAACCTAACACAAAATTAATTTAAATACATTCTTTAAAATTACGGGGTATTACAGATAATAATATCTTTTTATGAAAAGTTAGCTGTGAAAATTATTTTATGATTCAAAACCTCATGTGTCACAAAAGTGTGGTGGGAGCTCTACCTATTGAGACGGAAGACCCATCACCATGTGAGATCGTAATCTATATCATTATTCTTTTACTATATAACCTTTTAGAGTATTTCCAATGCAAAATGTTATATTTTTATTCTAATTTTATATTTTTAGAGGAACTACAATATTAAAATGTTATATTTTTGCAATTATGTTCTAATGGTACATTTCATCCAAAATACTATTTTTTTGACACAACAACCATTCCAAGTTTTGAGAGCCCATTAAAGTGCCTTATTTTCATCCATTTGCTATATTTTGAATTTGAGAGGCCATTTAAGAACTGATATATTTGACAATACTTTTAACAATCTCAAAATATGAGAAATATTTTGAGAGGCCGTTGGAGTGCCTTATTTTCATTCACTTGCTATATTTAGAGATGCTCTTTACAATTATGCTCCAATAATGCATTTCATAATTTTCATCTAAATTACTATTTTTTGACATAACAATTATTCCATATTTTGAGAGTCCATTGGAGTGCCTTATTTTCATTTTAGTAACTTTTGACAATCTCACAATATGAGAGTTCTTCTGAGAAATTCCATTGGAATGCCTATTTTCATCCACTTGCTATATTTTAAGTTTGAGAGGTCATTTAAGAGCTGCTATATTTGATAATATCAAAATATGAGAAGTCTTTTGAGAAGCCATTGAAATGCATTATTTTCATTAACCTGCTATATTTTGAGTTTGAGAGCCCGTTTGAGAAGCTATTGAAGATGCTCTTGAAGTATTTAAAAATTTCTTATTTCTTCTAATCATAACGAGATTTGAGCTTTGTATATTGGATTATCTTTCTATTCCTAATATTAGAAATAATTAAAGTTACCGTATATTTCTTTACCTCTAGTTATTTAAACGCCATTATGGATAATTTCTATAGGGTAACCCTTCAATTCATAACATAATTTATTTTATTATTATTATTATTTTAAATAATAAAACAAATGCACATACATACTTTTGATCAGGTCCAACTCGAACTCTCCCTCTCCTTTTTTCTAACATGATTTATTCCTTCCACATGTTTGTGTTAGAAGACTAAAGTCCATTGACTTCCATGATACAGCTTTTAAATTTTGACATTTTTTTTTTTTTTATATTTAATTTTTGACATTTCACCTATGTAAATAGTACACACGTGATGACTTAGGAAATTATATATATATATATATAAGGAGTTAGGAAATTGGGATTCCCTTGTGATCACCTATAAATACAGGAATTTGTGTCCTAGATTCCAAGCATAGAAATGTTGCCAACGTAACCCTCACTCAAAATAATAATTAAAATGGATCTAGAAAGAATAATAGGAAGTAAAATAACAAAAAAAATGAATGGGTCGTGAGGTTCATGCATAATAGGAGTAAGAATTATTGTCAATGTCAGACATAATAATATACATAATTAATTGAGAGACCTATTCTAAAAACAACCCAACCATATATTGACAAATGATGTATCAGATGTCGGTTATGGCAAAAATAAAAAACTCTCAGAATTTCATAAAAGTTTAGTAGTCAAACATTTTTACATTGGTAACTTTTGCTTTTTGAAAGGAGGTTAAGGTTGAATCTAAGTGAAAATATGTGTATGTGAGTTTACTTTATTATATTAAAGAATTAAAAATAAATAAATAAATAAAATAAATGAGATAAAATGAAGTTTAGGAGATGCTCAGCCAAACATGCATCCACAAAACATTCGAGCTCTAATCAAGATTGGGCTGGGCTCAAGTCTAAGAGTTCAAGATATTATTATACTGTCATCAATTATAATTATAATTATAATGATGTTATAAGGTATTCAATCTCCATTAATTTTTTTTTTTTCTTGATCTTTCAGGATATTGATTCCCGGCTGCCACATATAGTGTGAATGCTTGTGGACGAGTTGTGTAAAATTTGATTTAATTTCAACAATAGCGAAAAGAGCATTGACTTAGAAGACACTAAAAACAAATGAATACACCTACTCTTTTCTAACACCATTGGTGGAGTGATTTCATGGTCGAGTAATAAATGAGGGCATGGCACTCAATATACCAAGACAAAAATTCAATTAAACTGGGTGACATTTATCTGTCTACGACTCTATATATATACATACATGTCTAAATACATTTTTTCTTTTGGATGTTGTTGCATGTTGTTTTCTTTCTGGAAATGGTTCGTCCCGTGGATTGTTTGTTTGAGGAGTCGTGATGGTTGTTTTTTCTGCTGTGTTTAATATAATTAAGTTACTTGGGAGTTGGGACCAAAAAAAAAAAAAAAAGTGACTAGATATATGCATAAACTATAAACGTATAGGTATACAATTATTTTTGTATTCTTGACAATATAATTTAATAATAATGCTGCCAAATCCAAAGCCATGAGAGTGACCCAAGAAACCATCAATGCCATTCAAGAGATTCCTCTAAAATCAATTAGAGAGATGCGTTGTTCATAGTTTGACTTGCTATCGTAGGCATCGTCACAACTCGCAAGAAAGCAGCTTCTGTATCTCCGAATCGCTAGCTTATGAATTCTGCTAAAGTTGAAGCTGAGCAGCGCAAACCAACCAACCCTCTCCTCCCACCATGGCCTCTTCTCAATTGAACTGTCCGCCGTTTGACTTCTCCGCCAAGTATTACGGCATCGGAGGAAGTTGCCCGAGGCAGAGCAGCTTCTTTGGAGGCAAAGCAGTGCTGAATCAAGGTGTTGGGTACTCTGTTATTCTTGGCTTTGGAGCCTTCTTTGCTGTCTTTACCTCTTTCCTGGTACTACTCACTCCCTTCCATTTCTACATTATAATCCTTACTTTTTTGACTCATTGCACGCATAAGCCCAAGGGTATATTTGTAATTAGCGTCTGTTTAGCATAGAAGTATAATTTTTGTCCAAGAAATTCCAATAAGATTTGAACAAGAGGACTGGTGATTGCAATGGTACGATTTGAAGAGATGACTGAATTAAAGTATCTAAGGAAATACAAAAATATGATTATGTGCCAAAAAAAACACTTCAATCCTAATTATCACTGTGAACCATCTTCTGATCAGGTGTGGCTGGAGAAGCGATATGTTGGGTCGCGCCACACATCAGAGTGGTTTAACACAGCAGGGCGAAATGTTAAAACAGGACTGATAGCTAGTGTGATTGTATCTCAGGTAAGTTATCCAAATTCGCCGCCTTGTACAAATTTCCAAGACCACCAAATTAACTTACAATTTCAAACATTGGATTGCTAAAGTGGACTTGGGCAGCTACAATATTGCAAAGTTCCAATGTTGCCTGGGAGTATGGAGTTAGCGGTCCTTTCTGGTACGCTAGTGGTGCCACAATCCAGGCAAGAAGAAGCTATCTTTCATCTGTTTCTTTTAGGCTTTTAACTTCTTGTCTCCACAACAATGCAGTAAAGACATATATATATATATATATATATATATATATATATATATTCTGTTAACTAGTTTTGGTAATGCTTTAACAAACAGGTACTCTTGTTTGGTGTAATGGCTATAGAGATCAAAAGAAAGGCTCCTCATGCTCATACTGTTTGTGAAATTGTTAAAGCTAGGTATTTGTTAGTGTTCTATAAATTCAAGCTTTATATATTTTGAACTGCAATTCTGATCTCTCTTTTACTGCAGATGGGGTACTGCTGCTCATCTTGTCTTTCTTTCTTTCTGCTTCTTGACGAATATTATTGTAACGGCCATGCTGCTTCTTGGTGGTTCTGCTGTGGTGAATGCACTCACCGGAGTCAACATTTATGCTGCAAGTTTTCTGATACCTCTTGGGGTGATAGTTTACACGCTAGCCGGAGGGTTAAAAGCCACCTTCTTGGCAAGCTATATACATTCTGTAATAGGTTTGTTTACACTATGCTATGTTCAGTTATGTGACCTCATTCCAAATATGCTAATACTCATATGAGCCTTTTTGTATTGCGACTTCAGTGCATGTGGTTCTAGTCATCTTTGTGTACCTAGTCTACACAGCAAGCAATGAACTTGGTAGCCCAAGCGTCGTATACCACCGTCTGTTGGAGGTTGCAAGCAAATCAAGAATGTGTCAAGAGCCACTCTCACACGATGGGCAATCTTGTGGTCCAGTTAGTGGGAATTACAAAGGGTCTTACCTAACAATGTTGAGCTCAGGAGGGCTTGTTTTTGGGATAATCAACATTGTTGGCAATTTTGGTACTGTTTTTGTTGACAATGTGAGTCTCGTCATTTTTTTTTGCCTCATAATTTGGTTTCATTATTTTGCATTTATGAAATTTTGGAATTTGGCACTGTAGGGATATTGGGTGAGTGCCATTGCTGCAAGACCTTCATCCACTCATAAGGGCTACTTGTTAGGTGGGTTGGTCTGGTTTGCTGTGCCATTTTCCTTGGCAACATCACTTGGTCTCGGAGCACTAGCCCTTGATCTACCGATAACTGCAGATGAGGCAAGCCGTGGACTTGTTCCTCCTGCTACAGCTATTGCTTTAATGGGAAAAGGAGGTTCTATTCTTCTACTTACCATGCTTTTTATGTGAGTATCATTGATGGTATGTGAACAGATTTCGTAGTTTTTGATTGCTCGTATTATGTTCTGAACCGGAAATTTGATAAACAATGATCAGGGCTGTAACGTCTGCGGGTTCCTCTGAGCTCATTGCAGTCTCCTCATTATGCACATATGATATCTACCGCACTTATATCAATCCAGATGCAAACGGAAAGCAAATCCTAAGAGTGTCAAGAGGCGTCGTCCTGGCTTTTGGATGTTTCATGGGAATTCTAGCAGTAATACTGAACAAGGCCGGAGTTTCATTGGGTTGGATGTACCTGGCCATGGGAGTGCTCATTGGCTCAGCAGTTCTTCCTATAGCTTTCATGCTTCTATGGCGGAAAGCAAACGCAATAGGTGCCATTCTCGGGACAATTGGTGGTTGTGTTCTTGGTATTATCACTTGGTTATCAGTTGCAAGCGTGGAGTATGGCAGGGTAAATCTGGACACCACAGGCCGAAATGCACCTATGCTTGCTGGAAACCTCGTCTCTATACTTACTGGTGGAGCTGTTCATGCTGTCTGTAGTTTGATATGGCCTCAAAACTACGAATGGGACACCACGAAACAGATAACTATGGTTGAGAAGGAAAAGAGTGAACTGCCAGCTGAAGAGTTTGGGGAGGAAAAGCTGATGAGAGCAAAAGCATGGATAGTGAAATGGGGAGTTGGTTTTACAATTGTGATTGTTATACTGTGGCCTCTGCTAAGCCTTCCTGCAGGTAAATTCAATAAGCAGTTCTGTGACACCACATTCACATGAGACCATATAGTATATATCCTAAAAGCCTCAAAACCCAATATTTTCTTTGTCCTTTTTTATTATGTTCACTTATTAATTATGCTTTGTATACTTTTTTGGTTAATGCAGGACAATTCAGTGAGGGGTATTTTTCATTCTGGGCAGTGATTGCTATAGCATGGGGTACGATTGGATCGGCAGTAATTATAGCATTGCCATTGGTGGAAAGCTGGGAAACAATCCAAAGTGTGATTCTTGGCATGTTTACAAATGACAGACTCATGGAAAAGGTTGAAGAATTGAATTTCAAGCTGCACACAATTATTTTGGCAGTGCCTGAAGCTGAGAGAATATATTTGCTCGAAAAAGAGAAGGCCAAGGCCAAGAAGAAAGAATCATCAGAATGAGACACTCATTCGACTTGTGCATAACATTATGTTTCCCATGACTTTGGTGTTGATATATTTGCAAAACATATGAATTTGTGAATACAATTGTTAGAGAATGTATGTTGGTATTATGTGTGGAGATGGAAAATGAAGAGAGGATCATGTGCCACAATGAGTGACACCAAACAGGTGTTCGGTTATTGAGAAATTTGCAGGAACGACCAAAACAGAGTGCACGGGCGCTACATACAGCAAGAAGAGGGACCTAACAGTGTTTTTGAATAATCTGGGGAAAATGATATGGAAGAATATCATAATTTTTGTTCCACAATGAGAGTAGAATTTGCACCTAATCCATAAGTGATCATTGATAAGAGACCATGATTAAAAATAGTGACAGTGAACACCAAGAAACTAGAGAAAACTAAACTACACACCATGAAAAACTTTCAAGATTCCCATAAAAAAAGTAAAAAATAATAATTGCGGGCATATTTTACCTTGTCACGTCATTGGAATAATACTTCATAAAATAAGGTTCTCTCAAATTTTATTTAATTTTATAAAGTGGTGCCATTTCATTAATGGACGTAAATTATAAGGACCGTAACTTAAAACTTCAAATTAAAAAATGTAAAAAAAAAAAAAATTAATTCTAAAAACACATTAACATATAAAATTTAAGAAAATTTTATTATTACAAAAAGAAAAAAGAAGTAGAAACCCAGGTTATTTAAATTATTCATAGTACAGAAAGTTCACTGTTCTAAGATATCATACATATTTTATATTTGCAATAATAAAATTACATATACCTTTTCTTTTGTAGGTAACAATTTTTAAAAAAAAAATGTATAACCTAAAACAGTTCCCAAAAAATGCTATATATGCTGAATTTGAACCACTTCAGCTTTACACAGTTTTAGTAGCATCTACCGTAGCTGGTCATTTAAACATCAATGTACTCTTAACACCATCCAATAAAATTCTTAAAGGTCTAAAATTTAGTATTGTAGTAAGTATAGTTTCTATCATATGATCAATTCAATAAATTAATCAAAGGCTCAACAGTGAATATGGACAAGACAACCGATATGTGTGTATTATATATATATTCCCATTCTTGATTTCTTGACTATACAATTATTCAAATGACACTCTCATCCTCAAATCATAAAGATGTCTAATGAGAAAACTAAGGTGGAAATAATGTCATATGTCCAAAGTTGGCATAAGGCCGACTATCTCACAATAGAGAGTTGTTAATAGAGTTGATATGCCGGCTCAGCCTAAGAATCATTTTTTCTCAAAGAAAATAGCAGAATTACCCAAGTACCCATTATCCCATAACACTATTCAATCCAAATTATTTCTCCAACTTCACTCTTGGAATATAATGGATTGGTCCATAGGATCACATGCAGAGTCCAGTTAAAATTTAAAATACATAAAAACTCTATTTAAACTTGTCAACTAGCTTACCTGGACTGCTAGTCCAAACCATTATCCTTTTTCTCTAAACAATACCAAAGAAATTGCATCACAAAATTCAAGAGCCATAGCAAAAAAGAATTAAACAGAAATAAAGGACATATAAATTATAAAGTAAGGCTACATTCATACTTCAAAAAAAACTTCTACGTGCTCCACTGTATACTGGTCATTTCCTTTTTATTGTAGCACACAATGGATTAAGCGTGAAGCTTTCTTTCACTATAATATCCATAAATACAAAAAACAATTATTTTCAGCATAACATATTAAAGGAATTTAATCAATTGAATGCGATACTTTTAAGAATATTTTCTTTAAGCAAAATATCATGCACCGTTGCATCAACAGAATGAAAATGTCAAACCACGATTATACATCTTGCAAAACTGAAATAGAAAGGTAAATATACTTCTCCATCTAAAACTTCAGTATGTGAAAACAGCAATTAACTAAAGGAACCAGAATTTGTAGTTAATTATTTATCGATCTGTTTCACACCTTTTCTTGATTGCCCATGCACGCTCCTCCTCCCTCGCCAATAGCCATAACTCTGTAAAGGAAATTCACAGCTTAATAAACATATATATATATTTTTGTAAGTATACATTTCAACGTAGACTCATACACAAGCATACATCTATCAAACCTATAATCTAATGCACAACTAGAGAAACTAAAGTAAGCACTATTTGACCCTCTATTCACAGTTAACCCTTGAAAGAACAGTAAAAAATAATTGAAGGGGGAGTTGCAGCAAATAGAAAAAACTATCAACTGAGCCTACACACAAATAAAAATATGTAAAAACAAATTACATGAGGCAATTTGAGCTTCTTACTTTTCAATTATGGGTACTCACCGTCATCAGTATAGATACTTTTTCCACCCAGAAACCTAAGGCTCGGATTGGCAAGAAGGAAGGAGGCATGGAGCAAACTTCTATTGTTTGGTAGAGAGGAGGAGAAGAAGAAAATGATAGGAGGATGAATGAAGTATCATTGCAAGGCCACAATTTTGCTTCCGTCCAAAACTGAAAGGAGGAGGAGAGAAAAGATGGATATTTAAGTCTATTAATTTATATATTTAAGGGTATAGTGGTAAGGGTAGTGACACTTTAATAAGGGTGTAGTGGTTAAATAATAATATGACTCCTTTCCTTCCTTTCCCTTTCACTCCTTAGGGATGTCTCTCTCATCCCTTCTCTCCCTTCAAATATTTCCATCCACTAACCAAACAGAATGAGTGTCAAAATCTGAAAATTACTAAATGGCACCAAGGTAAGAGGCGAGACTCTGGTATTCTGAGGTTAGGGGAGCTAGAAATAAAATTATTTTATAAATCCCTCCATGTCTACCAACAGAAATAAACCACAAAAATTAGGCTGATGCCACACCCCAAATCATCTGCAATGAACCAGCAACGTTTGAGTTGTTTTATATGTAGTTTATGGTTTTCTATTTTCTCTAACTTACTGACAAGCTTTCAGTTTTGCTACAAATATTTCTCAAACCATACATTCATATAACCACAATCCAACTATATGCTTAATAGTCTAACAAAAACAAAAATAAGAAGGGACAACAAATGGACAGACACCCACTGGTCGTGCTGGATTCATATCATCCATTGTTCCAAGTCAAGACTGAAAAATGAGTAACTTTTCCTTTTTCATAGCATCTAATAAGTCACTGCTTTTTTTCTCAAACATTTGTTTAATTTAAAAACCCATCCTTACAGAACGTGATCTCATTCAAATTCAACAAATTTTATGATCTCTACATATCACACTACCAGTTGTACATTCAAATACTTTAACAAAATATAGCAACGGAATCATCATAAACAACCAAACAATCCCCAAATAAATTAGGAGAAATAAGATAATTCTTTAAGGTCAGAGTTTTGGTAGGAATTGTAGATTAGAAAATATCATCCTCCTTGTAAGACTTACATTCGAAGAAATTATTTTTGTAAGAAAAAGTGTCCATAGTAGTTTTAGTTCCTTTCGTGCTTGCTTTTTTTTTTTTATAACATTTAAAAAGTACTATATTGTTATATTACTCTAGCAAATATTCTTGAAGCTAGGGCGTAAGGTATAACTGTGATTTAATTCCATGTATCTAAGAAGAAACAAGTATAAATGCTGAAATATAGAATTTAACAAGATAAGTATAAGTGGAACGATATGTCTTGCCTGTTCTTCAAATTCTTCTTTGCTTTCAGCAACATCCTCCCTTACCACTCAAAAGAATGCAATTGCCCCTCTAAGAATCTATTCTGTCGTTTGAGCAAAACTAGAGTTTCCATATAAGTATCAACATATAATGAACGTCTGTTCCCCTGAATCCCGAGATCCTTGATCTGCTGAGTCTTAGGGTCATATGAAGCTAATATTTTCTCAGTCGTAGATAGAAGGACTTCACCATTCTTCCTCAGTCCTAACGTTCTGTCCGTTGCTCCCGGTAGATTAACAGTAACCAGTTCAGTCCAAGATTTCACAACTCCATACTCTTTCATCACCCATATGCAACAAGATCCAATGCCGTATCTGAACACCGAAAGACATTCTCCAACCACAGTGATATACAAGTTTGACTGGTGCTCACCAGCTAAAGCATCGGGCAACATAATCTTAGAAAAAACCTCATTGCCCATATCAAATGACACTATCAAATTGTGACCACCACCAGCCGGATTAAACGCAATCCAATGTACAGCTCCATTCACAAAAGCTTGCGACCACAATAATTCAACCATACCGTATGAAGGCCCAGGGGTGCCTAGACTTCTCCATAATCCAGAGCTGACTGTGTATATCTCAACCGTAGGAGGATATTCGTAATGGAGTGGATACTGTTTGCAATACACAAGTCTCACCACCTTGTAGTCATTTGTAGCAATGTCAACACCAAATCCAAGAACAAACATATGAGGTGACTCTGGCTTATTGGGCGCTGGCAGGACCAATGACTGTCTAATTGATGGGTTCCATAGAAAAATGCCGTTTGTATTAGCAAAAAAGTCATCACTAAGGCAAAGCAAACCATTGCAGCTACCCACTATTCTGACATATCCAAGTTGGCACTTAAATGGGAATTCGAGTTCCAAAAACCTGCTGAACGTTTCGTCGTCGTGACGCAAAGTGTAGTGTTCTTTCTCGTCGTCCTTATTGTAATACCTGAGGAGGAGGGGGCGATTTTGGTTTTTGTTGCTAGCAATTGTTTGATTAAGGTGTGTAGTGATGAAATTAGGGTTTGTGATGAGAAAGTACCATGATTTACAAACGCTAGTGAATCGAATCAGAGACTTGACAGGTAGTCTCCTGAGGATTTGAATCAAGAGATCGGGAGGTACATAGACTGACATTGTTGACATAGATTAGCAGGGATTTTGTTGAGGAGACTGTAAAACCCTAATTTTTGATGGAGGAAATCAAAGTGATTACAAAGGAGTAAAGAACTTACATTTGCTGTAATTCGCATAAACCCTAGCCGCTGAGAAGATAGAATTGGTGTTCGAACAGGTCCCAATCTACAGAGCACGGCAACAGTATCCGAAGGAGAGGAGAATAACTATGAATATCGCCGTTATAAACAAGCTCGAAGACAAATTAACAAGAAGTAAGGACTTTAAAGGCGTGCTCGCAGCTTGCCACCTAGCACTATACGTGTTCAAAAATAGATACCGTCTCTTGTAATTTTTTACTTTATAAATAAAAATAGTAATAATAATAATTACCGTACCCTCTCTTTACGTAACTACGTTCCATCTATTTTCAACATATTCACATATAAGTTTTTTCAATAAAATATAATGCCTTAGAAAACAATTACGTAGTATCTACCACCATTAAAAGGTGTAAACCATTCTTGTTATTTTTAAGCATTTTTCTTTATTTTTTTTTCATTCAAAAATATAATTACAACTCTTTAATCTAAAACTTATAAGATAATTTCTTGAAATTATCAACCGTTACAACTCAAGTTTGAATAACTTAATATGCTTAATCTTGAAATTCTCAACTGATACCGTTTTTTAATTTAAAAATTATATGATGTTTTAGAATTTTTTAATGGTTACAATTCTTTAATAGAAAATAATATTATTGACGACTTTAATATCACGACATACATAAAAATAGTTATTAAAAAATTTAACTTAAGTAGGCACCATTACTATTCTTATTTGTTCCATAAAATACTCAATTTCCTTTTTTTTATCTTTTCAATTTTCCATAACACTTTTCTTTATCTTTTTAGTTTTCCGTAGTCATTTTTACGGTAGCAAAATTTCACACGACCCGCCAACACGACATGAGATAAGAGTTTGAGTTTATCTTAAATGGGTTTGGGTCATAAACGGATCAACACGATTAACTTGTTTAATTAATGATGTCATGTTATGATTGAGGAATTCAATAAGTGTAACCTGTTTAACTAAAAGTTCCATAATCGTATTAATATCACTCGTATAACTCATTAACCTAATTACTATAGATAACTAGGTCATTTCAATATAAGCCCTAACAAAAATATACATTAACTCTTTAATTAATGTATTTTTTTTCTAGTATTTATTATTTGATTGAGTATTATAAATAATTTAAATAATATAATGTTTGGTTTTGGTAAATAAATCATTAAACATGCTAACACGTCTTCTAACATGTTTAATAAACAAGTCGGATTAGTGTTAAGGGTTCCTGATACGATTATTAAATGGGTCGGGTTAGTGTTGACGTCTTTAGTAGAATTACCTTAGGTTGACACGATACGACTATGACATGCGAACACGAATATTCATACATTTTTTTTTTTTTTTTTTCACAACAAGTTTCATGGTACTCAAATTTAATAATTTGATTTGTACAAAATCTAGAGCAAAAATATGTCATGTTTTATAATTTTTTCATGCTTTGCAAATTATTATTATTTTTTAAAATTTTATCTTTATTTTTTTGAGTTAGATTGATCATTAGTTTTGATCATTATAGTAATTAACAAATATATATCAAAGTAATGGATATTAATGATAAAAAAACACAAGTACCTGAATGATTCTTACGTAGATACAATTTTCAATAAAGATATTGGATTAAGATAAACCTATAAAAAAAGATTACAATTGTTTAAATAGTTGATTACCTTAATATTTTAAAATGGATCTCATTATATTTGACACATGGTTAGCCACATAGATTAGGTGATTTAATAGGTTTTTATTTGTTGAACCCAGTAGCAGGATTCTTCTATAAAATGAATGAAAATTTCAAATAATTATGTGAAGCAAGAAAGATGAGTACCAAAAAGGGATTAGCGAAACGGGAATATAATTTAGTTCTGATGAAATTTTTACCAAAGATGTATCAACCATAAAAACTTTGTAAATTGCTTTTAACTCCGTATTGAAAGCTTCATATCTATTATTTGTTTGCTTGCTGGAAAACAAACGAAGATTGATTTTGTCATGAATTTCTTTTTAGGTTTGATTGTTGTACTAACGATTAAAATGGGCAATTTTTTTTAAAAAAAGTTCTAAATATTACTGTAAATAATTATGTGTAAACAAAATCATTCTTGTTTGAAGAATTTGTTATTAAAAATGCATCAATGGTAACAATTTTGTAAATTTTCTCTAACTTTTTTTTTTTCTTTTTTGTTTTCCATCTTGATTTTTTCCATTAAATTATTTTCAATTTCGTATTGGAAGCTTTATAACTACTATATGTTTGGTTGATGGAAAAATACAGGGAAAGAAATAAAATTTATGTCATAAATTTCTTTTTAGGTTTGGTTGTTGTATTAATAAAAAAAAGTTAATAAAATTACGATTTTTCAAAATTACCATCTTAGCTTTAAGTGACCATTCTAATCATTGATGACAATATGTAAAATTACACCTGTTAAAGTGAATTCAATTAGGGCATTGCTATTTGCACCAAAATAATAAGTTTAATTGTTGACGAGTTTAACTATATACAAGTTTAACTATTCAATTATTTGACAAGTCAGAGTGTACCCGACACCATGCCAATGCCAGTCTCAATCACCATCTCTCTTTGTTAAAGGAAAGGTTTTTCACTCTCTTTTTGTTAAAGAAAAGGCTTTTCATTCTGAGGCTTGCTGAATTTTTCATCAATAAATATAATAGAGAGAACTAGCTAGCCTCCAGAAGAATAAAACTTAAGGTTGTAGGGAGGAGAAAGAGAATCTCGCTTAGGAGTTAGGTTAAGTTTAATACGAGTGAATAGAGAATCTTGTGTTAGTGAAGCTGATGCTGCTCTGCAGCTAAAATGGGTGATGATGTGAGGAAGAAAGCAAGAGTGAGATATGAAGCTCCAAGAGGTTAAGCACAAGAGAATCAGGGCCGTGTAGTGTTTTACATAGAATTGTTGAAGATGAGAAAGGAGAGAGAAAGATAAAAGAAAACTGAAAACATATTCACAAGTTACAAGCATGAAATATGCGTTTAAAGCCTAAATCAAAAGCGTTCTATCAAGCAATTATTTTCAATATTCCGTATCAAGTAGCACCATTCAGCAAGTTTGATTGTAAATGTGTAAGACATTATTAGTAAGGTAGAATTTGATTCATGATTTCAGTAGCACCAATCAGATACTTCGTATCTTAAAAAAATGTCTCTTTTAAGAAACTCTTTGTGGATTACATGAGTCACAAGTTTCAAACAAAAAAAAACAACAATTTTAAAATAGAGATAATGATTTATAATTTTTTATATTTTTTTTGAAACAGGGTAGTAGTTTATAAATTTTTATTCAATTAATATATATAATAATTATTATTATTTTAAAGGAAGCATTGTAATTACCCCACTTTAATCTATCCATAATAAAATAATACCACGTATTACATTGCAATCTTCTTTTAACTTAGCATCCAAACCCAACTGGTGGATGAGTTTCATAAACCGGTTATTACAATTTACAACTGAGACCGTTAAGCGTACGGATTTGCCCATGGTCGGCTAGAGTAGAGAAAGTGGTAGATCTCACTCTGTTTAGTACTTCCAGTAGTTGCAAGCCTTTTCATGTACATACCTCGAATCTCACTCGAAGAAACCCTAATTTCCTCACGCCAATAATACAAATATAAACTCAATTCAATTCTAAGGATTGAGTCAACAAAAAGCCCTAATTTTGAACCTTTCCCCACTGTGATAGTTTCACCCATTTTCTTTCTGGTTTTTGTACGCTGAATTGAAATGTATTCGCTCTGAGTCTTGTAGATTCGATTTTGTAAATTGAAGTTGCAAGAAAATGAGGCGAAGACCTACGGATTTTCGGCGGCCGGTGAGGCGGAGATTTTCGAATGTGTTTTGGTTCACTTTATGCGGATTGATGATTCTGTTCTTCATTGTTCTATTAAGTCGAGATAGCCAACCGACGTCCAGATCGGTGTTAACTAAGGTAACGGATCTGTTCTCCGTTCTCATTCTTTCTGTTTGATTGAAGGTTTATACTCTGTCAGCTTGCTGAGAAACTGCTGGATATGATAAGAATTGAATTTTGTTTGCCTTTGATCTTTCATTATTTGGGGTTATTAAACTTTGCCCTATGCAATGTTTAGCTTCAATTGGGTGAATGTATTTTAACAGATCTAGTGAGCATTGAACCATACGTTATCATTGGGGTAATCGTAATATTTGTTGGCATTATTATGTCGGATACAGTTAGTAAAGGATGTTGGTAGACAATAGCTTTTCTATCCTTTTCCTTTGAAAATAATTTCGTTTTTTGGGTTTTCTGTTTGCAGCTTCTTAGATGTAGTATTAAAAAATAAAAAAAAACGTTGGTTTTGTCTACCTTAAAAGATTTCAACATGTTAAAATTAGAATGGCTTAACAGAGTTACAAAGTTACTTCTGATTGAATATTAATCCATTATTTATTTATTTATTTTTCTTAAGCCAAATTTTATTAACAAACCAGCAGAAGAACAAGAGGGATAAAACCCTATATCCATTACAAACTAGGCTTGCTAAAAGCCCATTTCCAGAATATAACTAACAAAAACAACAATAAAAAATAACCCTCAAAAGGGCATTACACAACAAAATACATAGAGCAGAAATTGGGACAAACCCAATCACACTCAAACAAGCCAATAACAGGCAGCCTAAAATTACAGAGAGAAAATCTCCAGGTCCTGCAACTGCATTCCCAAAGCAACCACCATGTTCCAAATGATCTGTCTTGCAGCTTGTATAGGATTAACCACCACATCATCATGAAGTTTGAGATTTCTGGACCACCGTAATTGCCATATGGTATATGTGAAAGTAAGACTCAACCATTTACTTCTAACCAATTTGGTTTTAGAGTGAACCAAAAACCAATTCAACATCTGGTCAAAGCTATTAATCCATGATTAACCTGATAGAAAATATATAAAGATACTGGAATGCGTCAAATTATGTGTTGCACAAGTATAAAGATGATATAAGGGAGGTTTTAAAATTTTTTAATTTTTATTTTCGGGGATAGCTTGACATGATTTATGTTCCGAGAGGTAAGCAAAAAGATATTACTTGGTACCTAAGGATGAGTGATTGTATTAAAAGATAATAAGCATGGGGATGTAGAGAAAGTTAGAGATCTGGCTGGGGAATTCTGGATGGGAATACTGTTCCAATTGCGATTCCAAAATTTGTGGCTGTGGATATATATGCTGAAACCTTAATTGCAATAGTAGATCTTTATTATTATGGCTGTGACAAGGCTTGTTGAGCTATGAGGTGTGCTAAATCTGTCCTTTGTGTTTGAACTGGAATTATGTTTTGTCCACAAATGAGATTTAAAAAGCTGTTGTGGCCCAAAGATTAGGCCTTCTCTCTGGTTGTCAATTAGGTAAAAACTTCCTAAAGAGTAGTTGTAAATCCGAAATGTATGCATATACTAGGCTGTATAGACTATAGTATGCTGTCAAAATTTTGAAAACCAAAGCAATGTCCTTTACAGGACTACCAAATTTGGTGTTCCAATTGGGAGGCTGCCCTTCTCCATTTGATAATGATAATGATAAGAATCCAATGAAAATAAAATAATTTGGCAAAATGGAGAGTTAGAATGTTGATAAGGTTGTTAATGTATTATGGCATATTCGGTGCAAATTATACAAGTTAAGGCAGCCATTTTGCTTGCTTCTTTGTGTTCTGACTCTCCAGTATTTAAGGGAGTTCCTCTTTTGGAGACTTTTAGGCACTGGACTATTTTGACTCCCCTATAGCTATTGGAGACTTCTGAAATCTTATGCAGAACTACTTCCATTAATTGCATAAAGTGATCTCTCGTGGCTGTTTATTTGGGCTACGATTAACTGGTAGAGATCACGAGGTTGCTACTTTATTCGCTTCGTCTAGAGCTGCATCCAGTATGACTTGACCAATGAGGTCGTGGCTGTCCTTATAGGCCTTGAGTGTGATTTAAGGAATTTGTCATATATTGTTGTTGGAGGTTGTGCCAGTGAGATCAACTGGGTGTGAAAAGGATTTTTTGCTTGGATATGATTCAGCAAGTGCTAGGCAAGCCATGGCTTAGCTTCATTTATCAGCATCTTCTTCGGTTGGTTCCACAAAATGGCCAATTTTTTCTGCTAATAATCTTGCTGAACTAGGAGCTCATTTATCAGCATCATTTGCACAAAGTAGCTGCTTTTGAATTCGAACTTAGTTCTCAAACTTGGCAGTTTGAGCTTTTATCACTGCACCAGCAGCACCGTACACTGACCCAGGAAAAGGGGTGAATGGTAAACCAAAATTATTAGGTGATGCATGGATTTTAAAAATTTTGATTAAATTGAAGGATGAATGAAAGAAATGCAATTTTTTGCACGAATCATGGTTGGTTGATTTTCATAATTAAATAAATGTGATTTTTTTCCCGGCAAGGAATTAAATAAATGTGTTGTATGAAACTAGAATTACGATTTTGAAATTACAGTTTTTGAACAGTTTGAAATGTGATCTAGGTCTTACATCGTCAGAGTCCTGCTGTTCTGTGGTGGCATCAATATCATTCTTCAGGATCTTGAGAACAGCTTTTTGTCCCCTTCTTAGACATTCATTGTCGAACTATGCTTTTCCCTTGTGTGTGTGTGTGTGTTTTTCTTTCTGTCAACTTGTCGTATTCAAATGATGACATGGGCACTTGTATTTATGTCCCGTAGAGATCTTACAGGAATGACAGGATTTTAGAAGGCCTTAACATTACTGAAGAAATGTTGATCCCTGAGTCAGTCACAAGGCAAATTAGTGATCAAATTTCTCTTGCAAAGGCCTTTGTTGTGATTGCAAAAGAAAGCAACAATCTCCAATTTGCATGGGAATTGAGTGCTCAGATCCGTAATTCGCAGATCCTTCTCTCAAATGCTGCGCAAAGGAGAACTCCTTTGACTACCAGAGAATCAGAAACTGCAGTTCGTGATATGGCTCTTTTGCTCTACCAAGCCCAGCAACTCCATTATGACAGTGCAACCATGATCATGAGACTAAAAGCCAAAATTCAGGGTGTTGAAGAACAGATGAATTCTGTGAGTGAAAAGAGTTCGAAGTATGGACAGATAGCTGCCGAAGAAGTCCCAAAGAGCTTATATTGTCTTGGTGTTCGTTTAACAACTGAATGGTTCAGAACCTCAAATTTACAAAGGGAACTTGATGAGAAAAGACATATAGCCATGAAACTTAAAGATAACGATCTTTATCATTTCTGCGTCTTCTCAGACAACATCCTTGCAACTTCAGTTGTGGTCAACTCAACTGCTTTAAATTCCAAAAATCCTGATATGGTTGTCTTCCACCTCGTCACCGATGAAGTGAACTATGCAGCAATGAAGGCGTGGTTCTCCACAAACAGTTTCCAAGGAGTGATTGTTGATGTCCAAAAGATTGAAGATTTTAGCTGGTTAAATGCTTCTTATGTTCCTGTTCTTAAACAGCTCCAAGACTCTGACACTCAGAACTATTATTTCTCGGGCAACAACGACAACGGCCGGACTCCAATCAAGTTTCGGAACCCTAAATATTTGTCTATGCTTAACCACCTCAGGTTCTATATTCCGGAAGTTTTTCCTGCATTGAAGAAGCTAGTATTTCTTGATGATGATGTCGTGGTTCAGAAGGATCTGTCAGCTCTATTCTCCATTGATCTGAATGGGAATGTTAATGGTGCAGTCGAGACTTGCATGGAGACATTTCATAGATACCACAAGTACTTGAATTACTCCCACCCTCTTATACGACCACATTTTGATCCGGATGCATGTGGGTGGGCATTTGGTATGAATGTTTTTGATTTGGTTGAGTGGAGGAAAAGAAACGTAACCGGCATCTATCACTATTGGCAGGAAAAGAATGTCGACAGGACGTTGTGGAAACTTGGTACACTTCCACCTGGACTGCTGACCTTCTATGGATTGACGGAGCCATTAAATCCAACATGGCATGTGTTGGGGTTGGGCTATACAAATGTTGATCCTCAGTTAATAGAGAAGGGGGCTGTACTGCACTTCAATGGGAACTCGAAACCATGGTTGAAGATTGGGATGGAGAAGTACAAACCTCTTTGGGACAAGTATGTTGATTATTCTCACCCTCTATTGCAACAGTGCAATGTTCATTGATCTCCAATGTGGACGTTTCATCTCTTCCACGGCATAATTGTTGCATCAGAGGACTGAAAATGAAATCAAACAGTGTTTGTGATTGTAACATGGGTATTGGACTGGTGTTCAACTTGTAGTGTATTTTTTCAAATGATAATTTAAAGATATTCATGACAGGTTTTATTCGTAACAACTTTTTTGGTCAACATTACGCAAATATAGTTCTGAAGCTGCTTGCTTCAGCTGCGATTCATTTTATTTTCTCACCAGTTCATAGTGCTCTGCTTCCCCGTGTTCGAGTTTGGCCGTGCAGGGTTAGAAGAGGTTTTAATCCTTTTGTGATCCCAGCAAGCTTTTATAGTTTTGAAAATCTTCTTCATATGCAGTTGTTTCTCTCTCTCAACTAAACTCAGCTGAACATGGTTTCACTAACAACAGCAATAACAGGATTTTAATAAATAAGGCGCTCTTGGAGTCAAGTTAGCTCTAATAAAAGGGATTAGCATGATATAATACTGTTTGGCGGCTCTGATTTTCTTTTATATTTTTTCATTTACAGCTAAGTTATACTATATGGTTATCTTACTCACAAAATCAATAGAATTATAGTAGTGCTCATGTATCTTAAGCGTAGTCATCTTTAATATATACTGCTTAGAATATGCTCATAAATTAATTAGGTCCGCAGGACACAATGTGGTTTTGGTTATTAATGGTTGTTGATAATTGATATGCGGTTTCTGAGAGGCTTCTTATGAACCAAAAGAAAGAAAAAAGCAATCGCCAAACGGAGTGGCCCAATTAGTTTGGTGACAAACATCAAAGCTTATGACCAATTGGTCCAATTCTATGATGTGTATGTGTTTGACATTATAATTGTCCACAACCTTTCAGTTATTTATTTATTTTTCTCATATAACATTTTATCCTAGGGGAAAACAAGGATTATTAAATGATTTGGCCTTGCCCTTGTATCTCTAGCTCGCAAGTCTTGTAGATTGAAGTGTGAGTTTTTATGTTTCTAAGGATATGAATAATTCTATTGATGACGAAAACATCAAGTCGTTGTAGTATAGTGGTAAGTATTCCCGCCTGTCACGCGGGTGACCCGGGTTCGATCCCCGGCAACGGCGATTTTTAATTTTTATTTATATATTTACCCAATTCCCCATAGGGCATAACTATTCCCCATCATATTTGTTTGTGTTTGGAAAACCCAAAAGCAGGTTCCAATCTTGTTCATTGTTATCTTTTTGAGCACACATGAGATTAGCTATAGCCTAGATTATTCAAACATCTTTTCCAATGGTGATGATTCAGTTTGCATATTGTACTGTAATATACAAGATGTTGACAACCCTTCTGGACCTGCACTTCTGATGGTATTGCAAAGAAAGCAGTGCCAATATTGTGTGGGATTCATAAAGTTAAAGAAAAACTAGTCTGAAAGTAATATTGATTCAAAATCCCCCCTTTTCCTTTTCAGTTGATTTGATTTGAAGAAGAGACAACGAAAACTGTTGGATGATGTTGTTCATGAGAGAAGTTGAAGCATGGGTAAGGGGAAACTGATTCAGAAATTTTCATTTTGTTTGGAAAAATAATTTGATATGGAGGAGGTAAGTTTACTGTTTAGAAAAGTGAAGAGGAAACAAAATGATTCGGAACTAATTGAGTTGAGCGTTTGATGTGGAGATGATGAGTTGTAGAGAGAGAGAGAGGTAATTGGATGAGGTTATTAACAATGAGGTGGAGCGGGTGAGGTTGGTTGAATAGTCGGATGAGTAGTGATATCGGGAGAGAGGTTTTGTATTTGTCCCACATCGGAAAGTTAGGAGACATGACCTCACAAGACTCTATTATAAAAGAAAGCAAGGTTGGAGGTAGTAAGGCATCTTTGCGCTTGGGGCAATGACGCAGCTAGTGAGGTACTAACCGAGGCGCGTCAATTGCTGGTTGAAAACTATTTCCAAACCCCCTCTTTGGCCTGGGTTTGGCCCAGGCTATTGAGAATTTCTGGAAGGGCTCCCTCTAACCCAGGGTAAAGCCCTACAATTCAAAGTTCAAAGTTTGTTTCAGTCTGTTTTCACTGGGCCTTACTTAACGGCTTTGCTTACAAATAATATTTGTAACTCTTTTTAATTAGTTGTAAAGTCCGATAAAAAATCAATATCAAATAGTAGATTTGATACGGGGGGTATATGAGTGTGGTTCGACATCTTTAAAAAGATTGGAGTTTTGGGGTTTTACATCGTTGTTTCATGAGTGGTGAGGTCAGTTTAGGGAGCGGCACCACCAGTGTATGCTTATGTTTATATCCGTTATCTCTTCGATATGGTCAGCCAGTTTATTTTCTTCTTTATAATATCAGTAACCCCCTTTCTTGACCTTCTCAAGTAGGAACCCTAAGTTTAGGATTTTAACTTTTATTAATTGATAGTTTAAATACAGAAACAAGGAAAGTAGAACTGGAATACTATAGCTGCCTAATGGACACCGGTCACCAATAAGAATATATTTCAAAACAAATCAACTTATTAATGTTTCTGTAGGTTGTGAGAGAGAAGTGAAAGTTCCCACATCGGTTGCAAGAGAGAATTGCTTTCAACAAAATTAATTTATAACAAAGAATCATCCAACAAGTAAAAATCACGCAGCCACGCAGTGGAGCACATAGCGAGCTATTCTTTCGCCTTTTACTAAAGAATACCGTGTGCTTGCTGCAAAGTTGAATAAGACTCGGACACTGCTTAAGCTCCTCAACGTAGAGCAGGAGCCATTAAGCGGCTTCATAACATCATATATATATATATTACTTCAAAGATAAAAATCACTGTGGTGGACGCTATAACTTTTAAGTTATTTCATTAAAATAAAGTTGCATAATTTTACATCAAGACTGTAATCTATAACATCATATGGGACACTGCTTAAGCTCCTTAAACGTAGAGCAGGAGCCATTAAGCGGCTTTATAACATCATATATATATATATATATATATATATATATATCACTTCAAAGATAAAAATCACTGTGGTGGACACTATATAACTTGTAAGTTATTTCATTAAAATAAAGTTGCATAATTTTACATCAAGACTGTAATCTATGAACCAATGTACACTTGCCCCAAAAATTTTTAAAACAGCTTCTCAATCAGGTTCTTGCAACCTAGTTGCTGACTGAAAAACTGACACCACAAATCAGCCCCACCATCTAAGCTCCCAATCACCCTGACAAATACCAATATGGAACCAATTTCCAGTCTCACCTTTAGGATGGACACTGCTTGCTCCGAAAATCTTCAGATAACAGCTGATCAATTAGCTCTTGCAACCTCTTTGCACCAGGACCAGGCCTAAACACTGAATCATCGCCTCGCAAGGAGCATGGGTCAGCCCCACCATCTGAGTTCCCGATACACCATGCACCAGGTGAAAACCGATTTGTACGCCCTAGAAGCTCTTTATCAATCTTGTCTAAAACTGAGTCATCCTTTGGAAATTTTCTAGCAAATGGAGCGCTGCTGTTAACCATTTTGTCAAAGTCCTTGATTGTCAGAGAGCGAGGATGTTGCTTTGGAGGGGTGTCCCAAGCAATGTAGTGAAGATCATGGCTTATTGCAGTATTATGGAACTCTTCGGTGTTGCAAATAACGGTGTGGAAATAGCCTTCTGGAGAGGAGATGAAATTTGTGTAATACATTAAGATCGTTCGTGGGAGGTTATCCCATCCCCATATACAGTATTCCACAAAGGACCGAGTTAGCATCACCCATGCTGAGCCTGCACGGGAAGCAAACTACTGTTTTGAAACGTGCAAACAGTGGTCACATGGTCAATGTCATTTGTCTCAAAAATCTAATACTACTGCATGACCCCATATATATACCTACCTCTTTTAAATAAACATTTTAAATCTTTCTTTGCAATCTTTTTAAATTTTTACTGAAGCTTACACTTCCTTTTACATGCAACTTCCCTAGAGTTAAATATTAAGATCCATTAAGGTATCAGAGACAGCAAGCTTCCTATAAAATTTCATCTGATTTCAGTTTGTTTCCCACTTTATATTTTCCCAGTCGTTCACAATTGTTGCGATGAGTTGACTTACCAGTGAACAACTTGAAGGATGTGGGAAGTGACCGACGTTGAGTTGTCGAAGCAATGTCAGATTTTTTGGATAAGTATAGGCCTGGATCAATGATGATTGGCTTTGCTCTCTGGTTCCTGCAGAAATAAGGAAAATTATAAAAATCGGTAAACTTTAATTGTGAATTGGAACAGAACAAAACTTTCTAGGGGAATATGCACATTGTATATATATATCACTTACAGTTTCCACCCACGTATCTGTGTATGTTCTATGAAATTGAGATTTCTGGACAAATTAGAAAAAACATGGAGCAGATCTGCGCAATCACAAAACTGGTCAGATTTTTTCTCACGCAATCAGACTGAGAAAAGTACGTATCTTTGTATATACATCAAATTTCTCCCACAACTTTCCATTTCCAGAGAATATATACACTATATAACAGAATGCACCACAATAATATCCGAACACTATATACACCACATAACAGAATGCATTATGATAATATTTGAACAAAACTAAAATGGTGTCTTGTGACGATGTTATTCAATTTCAAGTCCTATAGATCAAGGACGGCTTAGCAAGGGGGTGTAGACAATGTTCATGGGGACAAGAAACTTGCCACTCAAAATAAGCCTACACAGGTGTGATCAACAATCAAATAGCTACCAACCTCTTTTTTACAAATACAATAGCAATATTATTAAATGATCATTATGATGCCTCTTAAAGGGATATACTGAGGGATAGCAAAATGGCAGGATAGAAGAAACAAATCGCGTTGGGACATGGCATAGGTCTTGAAGGAGTACCAACATATAGGCCTTTGCCATCACAAACTCATGTTTGTAACTCGCCACCATGTCTTAAGTAGAGTTTCTAAACAACTGGATGCAACAGGATCCTCCACTTTAAAGACTAGTAAAGAAACAAAAGACTTTCGAATGCCCAAGATAAGGAATGGAACTTTAAAAGTAGACAGCACCACTAGAAGATAGATGAAGTGGTATCCCTTTCTCTCCGTTTGGAGGCGTTTGGAGGAAGGTTTACAATTGAAGTCCAAGTAGGGACTGATGGGGAGAAGCCAAGCCTGTAAGCTAGATTAGGAGCAAGATGACCACACACAGAGAGAGAGAGAACTGGAAGTTGGTTTCACAAATGACATCAAGGCCCTAAAGGTAGAAGAAAAGTTCTTAAATTTACACGAAATGAATAGATATTATATCAGTATAATATGAATCATTTCTTCAGACCTACAGAACATAATCCTTATTTCCTTATCATTTCATCTCCTTCTGGCTGTGATAATTGATAATTCACATCATACTCTTGTGACTCACCTGTGGACCACATGAAAAGGTTTGAGGGCATCAATGTGCACTATCAATTCTGAGTAACAATTTTTTTCCCTACAATCAAGTGGTAAAATGATGGAATAGGTAATGAGCTCTAAATCATCAACACCGGTGATTAGTACGATAACTGAACTGAACTCGAGCCAATCCTTGCGTTTGGTAATGACATGGAAGGAAAGAAAAAGATAATGTTCACTTAGTTTCTTGGAGGTGATGAAAGAGCATGAATCTCGTCTTCCATTGTTCGATTTGGTTTGTTTGTGTTCCGTTTCTTCTGACGTAGGCGCTTTCCAGCCCTTTCTATCAATCTGCACTGGGAACATAGAGCAAGAATTCCCATCCGCTTGTGAAAACGCAAGGCGGGGCAAGTTTGGAGAAGCCTAGCCCTATTAGAGCTATCCTACTGCCACCACTCCGGGGTAGTGTACTGGGACCTCTCTTACTGGTCCCTTCCTTTGATGTCTCTGGCCGAACTTTCTACAATGAAGTAGGCTCACCTTCGGAATCGGGATGGTGTTATTCTACTCGTCCTTAGCAGGATGTGAGCCGGGGACACCGGGAACAGTCTAGAATGCCTCCATGCACCTACCCGTGCCCAAAGCACTCTGATTCTTATGATACACTAGATGGGCATATATCTGATATCGCGGAAGCTTTGATCTTGAGAAAGGATATGATTACTGTCTCAGATTGGAAGTTGGATAGAGTCATCCTTGAGGGAGATGCTGAAGTAGTAGTTAAAGCAGTGAATGATCAAGAGGCAGCTCCTGCGCTGCTAGGAGTTATTATGGAAGATATTCAAGGTCGATAAAAGGGCCAATCCGGCATCAGGTGTGCACGTATCTGGTTGTTAGGCCTCTCTTTCTCCCCCCTCGTGTGCCCGCCCATTCGCCCTAAATGGAATGGCTCTCTTAGTTACGCTGCGCCCCGACCCGAGTCCCCACGTCCGCTTTTCTCCACCCGCAACCCCAGAAGCTGGCTTTGCCAACACAACATTAGGGCCGTACCCTTCATTCTATGCTGACCCCGGCCCGGGCTAGCTTTTTGGGAAGCCTGTTCCCACCGCGCTAGAATAGACTCTCTCCGTGCTTGAGGCTCTGCCGTGGACCTAGCTAGAATGGGGACCGTGATGTTCAGCAGATGGGTGATTTGAAGCATGGAATTCATCGCTGCTACTTTAGCCTTAGAATACCCCCGAACGGGACCTTACTGCTAGCTGACATCCCCCACCAGTTCGTTAGCTAGCGCGCAACGGCTGATGAAAAGCCAGCAACTTGTTAGGAGTAGGTTTTGGCTTGTCCCTTTGAAGGGCACTAGTTACCACTAAACGACGAAGCCAGGAGCGGAAGGAGGGACTTGAACCCTCAACCTCAGCCTTGGCAAGGCTATGCTCTACCATTAAGCTATTTCCGCCAGCGACGGTAGTGGCGAAGCACTACTGAGCAATTCACGTATCACTTGATACGGACGACTTCCGTTTTTCTAGGGACAATCAATCCGTAGTGACGGGAATGACGGAATGAATGGGGATCGCTATCAATATAAAAATTCAGAATATAGAATTCGAGTTTTTTTTTGCCCTTTCTCTCACTCAATAGATGTATCTGGTCTGATAGGTACAGTACAATACGAGACAATGGAATGCAATGGGATAGATGGTAGAGGGCTGCCTGCGCCCAAAAGCGATGATTCACTTGTCCCCTTGTCTATAGGGACCTCGTGGCATACAACCGAAACGACTCCCGCTAGATAGCCGCCCCTTTCTCTCTTTTTAGAGCCTCGTGGACGGACGAAGGGAAGTTACAGAACGGGGCTGTGAAGGCTTGCGAAGTAGACAGCAAGCATAACATTGATAAGTGTGCTATATGAAGTAAAATGTTGGATCCCGGAAGATTCTCATTCAAATGGCTTGTTTCAGTTCACTAAGTAGATCTCCAGTTCAGTAACATAGCACCGCCCTATCCTTCAAACCCCCATCTCCCCCCCCCCCCCCCGCCCCGGCTTCTCAATATATATATATGTAAAGAAAAAAGAGAAGAAGATTCTCATTCAAATGGCTTGTTTCAGTTCACTAAGTAGATCTCCAGTTCAGTAACATAGCACCGCCCTATCCTTCAAACCCCCATCTCCCACATGCCCCCCCCCCCCCCCCCCCCCTCAATATATATATATGTAAAGAAAAAAGAGAAGAAGGAGAACAAGTGTTGACAGCCTTCTGTTAAATCAAGTCAAAAAACAATAAACATTTGGTTTGAAAATATTTAACCCATCAGTCTCAACAATCACCTCTCTTTCTCATGTTCGAGCAAATTGTGGAACCAAATTACTCTCATCCCCGCAACAAACAAAGAGCACCCTAAAAGCCAAGTTAGCCTATTGAGCGAGAAAATGGCAATCAATAATTAAGCCATATAATGTACCTACCTTGGACCGAGGGTTCGTATTTACAGCAACATCACGCTGCCATTTTTTACATCAAAACCAATTAGATAATCAAAAATAGCTATTTACTTTACATAGCTAAAACAGTCGAGTAGTAAAAATGTTTCACGATAACAAACACAGAATTAAACATTTAAGTGTGAAGACCATTTTGAGGGGGAATAAGCTTATATGATGGAAAAATCACTTGAATGATTCAGTTAGGGGCCATTGGTTGGTTGAATGGTAAAAATTCAGGCTGCCATGCTTAAGAATATGAATTTGTGTCCGAAAGCAATCTATTCATAAAAAATAATGTTAGTTCTTTATACAGTCCAATCCTCTTAGCACCGCAAACAAGCATAGCCAAACCATATACCATATGTTATTATTCTCTAAACTACTCAAAATGAAGTTAAAACAAAGGTAACATGTTATGCAAAATGATAACAATCAGATTTATGAGTATGAAGCAAATAAGAAACAAAGTGTAGCACTAACCATCTTGTGTCACAAGAGGATAATCTGAAGCACTGAGGTTTATAAACCAATCCCAAGTCAAGCTCTCCTTCAACAAAATTGCAATGGCTTGAAGGGTACAGGCAATCATTGTTGGTCCCTTATATGTCACCAAATTTGATTGTGCCATTACACGCACATTCTCCACTTCACGAAATGTTGGATCGTTTTTCACGGACATTGTCAAATCCAACCTTTCACGTGGTGGAGCCTCAAGATCCATGTGTAGAACATATTGATTTCTTGGATGATACACAGCTTGCAAAGTCCTCATCATTCTTTGACTGTCACCCTTTGTTCCCGATATAAGATAAGCTAATCTAGGCGCTTCTATTTTTGAAATCCCATTTGCATCGAGTGATCTTCTCATATCGGATTCTACAAAGTACTCACTTGAGTCCTCCGATCTCCCAAATGAAACAATGTCAAATTGCAGTTGATCCCCACCATAGGAAGACGAATATAACCCAAAACCAGCGGCCATAATCAGAGTAACAGAGATAAGCAAACTGGCAAAGAAAGGAAGAACCCACCTTCTATCACTGTACATTCTTGCTGAGTGGGAATTAACATTTTTTCTCATACTCATTAGCTGGTACTGTACCCAAAATTGATATTTGTATTATCAGAAGAATCCCCAAATTTGTAAATCAATTGAGAAGCCCAGAGTAATCTTTATTCAAACCACAACCCCAATCTTACTTCCGAAGATCGTAGGGTCAAAAAAGACCCCTTTCCCAATTATAGGAATAAGATCAAAGCAGAAGCCTAATGATTTGTAGAAGATAACATCGCGTTCGAGTGTAATGAAGTTTAATTTCAAAGCTAGTGAAAAGCTCGAAAGCACCAAAATCTAGGTAAAATCTACTTCTGGTTGGAAAAGGAAGCCCGAATACTTTTATAGTTATAAATGAAGGAACCTAATGAGGAAAAAAAGAGGAAATTTTGTATAGGTGGAATTAACGTATGACCAAATTCGAAACCTAAACTTCAGATTTGCAACCAGCGGTAAACTGATTCTCGCTTAATCTCTCTAAACTGCCACAGATCTAATCACTCACGCACCACAAAAACAGTTAGTTCAAATATATATATAGAGAGAGAGTATAAAGATATCTTTGATTGAAAGTTGAGATACTTCAGTTGGTTCAAAAAGATCAACCGATGCTTGCTGCAGGTTCTGAAAGTTTTAAGAGAGAGAAAGTTTGAATCTTGGAGATAGCGAGCGAGCGAGAGAGGTTCCAATCAAACTACAGAGAAGAAAATGCTCAAGTCAAATGAGTGGTTGATTCGAGAATCGTGGAGTCTTAAGAAGAAGGACCAAAAAGATTAGCACAAAACGTAACGAATAAAAATGCTTACTTTCACAGTCCAGAGGAGCATATATATATATATATGTGTGTGTATATATAAATATAGATATATCTATAGAGAGAGAAATCTTACTTGCAGAAGAGAGCTTCGAAGAAGGAAGTGTGGGGCAGAGTGATCTAGTGCGAGTAGGGCAGACAGAGAGAGGGTTAGGAGAAAGTGATGGACGCCCAAAGAGGAAGAGGGGAGCTGCTGAGTCAGATTATATCAACCGTACACCTTTACTTAAATTGTGGGCAATAACACAACCTTTAATTAATGGTTTAATTAATTTTATTGTGCGTGTTTAGATTGATATTCAAATTGCAGTAGTAGCTTTTTGGAATGCTTTTCCAACACGGCTTGCCAAAAACATTTGACTCTCACGGGTCTTTGGAGTTGAAAATCTGTTCAGACTTTTTTAACCTGAGAGTTGAAAATTGTTTCCAACCCTTTATTAGTTTTAGACATTCTAAAACCTTTTTAAGGCTTTGTTTGGTTAGGGACAAAATAGTGGAATTTGTAACAAGATGAATTATATATATATATTTATTAGTTTTAGAAGTGTTCAGATAGTATTAAGAAAAACCGAATTTACAATTATGACGTCTTAAAATATGGATGAGTATGTGCATAAAATTTAAAAAGAAATGTATAACAATTCATATTTCTATCTCAAAAAATTGAATGTCAAATACAAGTTTTATTTTAATATTAACATTACTTTATTTTATTTTAAAATGGTCAATAAAATTTAATTTTTAAGACACAACAATTATTTTTACAGGGTAGTAATATCAAGAATTGGATTAGTTTTCAGGGAGAGGATAATCATTTATTAATAACAACAATGTTAAATGTTGTGGAGTGGAGTGTCGGCTCGCCTCCGTGCGTGCTATCTGCAGTGAGTCCCACAACAGATCCAATAGGATCCACCTCCAACTTATAGCCGTACCACATTATCAATGTTGGCGCCAAGTCGCAATGCCACCTGCCTTACACTTACAAGACACAGAATGGATGGAGCATTAAAAATTTGTCCCTTACTGTTTCCTTTTTCCTTTTTATTTTATATAATGGTCAAATCACTCTGTACAGGATATCTGAAAATGCAAAAAAAATTCTCCCCAATTATTGGTCTTTTATATGTAATCTCTCGAAATTAAAAACTATCTTGAGTTATTGATATGTTGTAATTAAAGGTAAATTCATTAAAAAAAAATTATTTTATTTTTTTTCATTAATTTTTTATTTTTTATTAAATTATTTTATTGTCTTATCTCTTATCTAAATATTAATTCTAATATTTACCTTAATTTATTATTAGTATCAATTTATCATGCCAATGAAAAAAGGATAGATATATTTGTAACTATCATTTATGAATGATGATATAGTAATACAGTGTCAAATTTCTATAATAGGTTCACTTGTCTTCTCTCATCTCTTCTGTATGTATTTGGACAGATTTATTTCTTTATATCATTTCTACCAAGAGAATACGCTAACTAGCAAGGTGAAATTCACCACTATTTCTAATTGCAGAATATACAACTCTCATATTTGCGTGATATATAAATGATTTTGGGATAATTTCACTCACACCCCCTGAGGTTTGGCCAAATATCACTCTAAAACATATTTCGAAAATAACTATCACTCACGTTACAAACTTTTGTTCCGTTTTTCACTAACACCCAACCGTTAGTTAAATAGTTATCACACGATGTAAAATGACTTAATCATCCTTTGAATTTGTCAAACCAACCCTTTAGCTTAAATGATTAGATTAAAAGACAAAAATACCCCTAGAAAGCTGTAAATTTACAAATTATATATATATATACACACAGACACATATATATATACACAGAGACATATATATATACACACACACACACACATGAAGATATATAGGATCAAGTTCCTAACAGAACAAGCTTAACTCTACAACTGGTTTCAAAGTAGAATGAAAGAGTATCAATAGAAGATTGTAAGTACTCATATATCCCTTATTTTTAAGTTTACAACACTACAACACTGCTAAAAAAATTATACACATTATTGTAAATACCATGGAACTCCTAAAGCCACGCCCATCACCATTTGCCGTCCCACCGACCCAAGCAACCAAAGTTGACAACCCCAAATAACCCAATCGGCAACCCCAAGCAACCCAACCTACCTGTGATTGCAACTCGCTGCTCTTAGTTTAGTGATGGAGTAATTAGCATGATTAATCTTTTCCAATTACTTATTCAACAAAACCCATTTTAGTATCCTTGCAATTACATTCAGAAAGTCATTAGTACAAAATGTCATTGGGGTGTTTTGTCAGACAGTTGTGAAAGAGCTTTGGCATGGAATGCCAATAGAATCTTGTTTTATGATTGTAATAAAGAGATAGAGAATTGAAAATAAAAATTTACCCAAAAAAAAAAACAAAAAAAACAAAAAACAAAGTCACTAAATGAGAAACTTGTTTCCAAGTGACAGAGACTCTCCACATCTTGGTTACCAGAAAGTCGACTTTCTTTATCACAATCAACAATCAAACCCAGATGGAATTTCAGCAAGTTCAAGTCAAAATTCAGGTGGTTGTGAGTGGAGCCCTCGCTCTCAGACAACGCCATGCTACCACCGGTCAACAAACTGATAGAATCAAAAAGAGAAACCAAGATTAGATGTGAACTAAAAAACCAAAGTAGAGGTGTGATTTGAACAGAAAACGAAGAAAAATTGCATTGCGACAATGTCATTGTTGGGATTTATATGTCCTGGCATAGCAAATTCCTGTTTGGATTAAAGTGATATATGTTTGGATTAAATATTTATGTTTTATACAATTGGTGAATTCAATGTATTATATTTTAATTCATTATAGAATTGATAGTGTCCATTTGATTATAAGAGATATTTATATATATACATGTGATGGCAATTAATGCATGATATATAAATAGTAATCATAAATGGTTCATAGTCGGTAATTATGGATGGACTCATAATTAATTAAGATTTGAACTGGATCCGCGTTAGATTGAAATATATTGCGAGAGCTGTCGTATGCAATTGCTTCCTATCACCGTCATGGCATTTGACTCTTAAGCATGAGAAAATTATAGACTCTTTTATTAATTAATAATTACTTTGATTTGTTTGGCGGATTCTTCGGAATCCTTAGGCCGACACTTTGGGTAGTTATGTGATTAATAGTTAGAGGGTTATGTTTTCAATATTTGCATCATTGCTACTTGTATTTATTTTGTATTGATTATGGTTAATCACAAAGTAGATTCGAAGGCCTTCGTGTGTTTTTAGACAAAATGATTTATTATATATTTATTTATTTAAATTATTATTTTTGTCAAACAAATGTTTTATTGTGATCAAGCCAGAAATAATCAAAGATACCAAAATAAATATATTAATTAAGTAGTCGGATTGATGGCTTTATTTATCCGATAACTAATTATGCATATAGGGGTCAAAGTGCAATATTGACTTAGAGGTTGTTTATTATTTAATTGGAGTTCAATTAATTTCTTTTAGTGGAGTAGAAATTAATTTATGAATTAATTGAATTAGGTCCATGGACCGGGCCAATTATTAATTCATTGTAGCCAATAAAATAATAGGCCCAATGGATTCTCACTCATAACCCAACTTGATATTGGAATCATATTAGATTTGAGACATGCGAATTAGAGATTGAGAAGGATTAGTTGTTTCCTTTTCTTTACCTTTATGTTACCTATAAATATACATGGTCTATGTATATTTTGGGGGTGATTTTTAGTAGAAGGAAAAAGAAATATATATTATCTCTCTAGAAAATTAGGGTTTATGTTCTCATCTAATGGAGGCTCCCACAAGCCTAGTTTTTCAAGGTTATTCATGGAGGCTTATGAGTGATTCCTAAAGGCAAAATAATTACCAAGGAGATTGAGATCCAAGGAGAAGGCATCTTGCTAAGGGATTTACAATAAGTGAGAACATTCACTTTAGAGGAAAGATTTAAAGGTTTACTCAGACTTTTGATATAAGTATTCAATCCATTAATTGAATAATACATCATATTTTTATTTTTGCATAAAACTTGTCTCTATGTGATGAATCAAGATCTATGAATCAAAATCCCTTGAAAAGTTTTTAAAACTTGCACGTTTCCCAACAATTGAGGTATGTGAACTTAAGGTCGAAAACCCAGAACCTAGTGTCAACAACCACAACCACCCCTCTCTCCCACCCAATTGGCAACCCCAAGCAACCCAACCTACCTGTGATTGCAACTCACAACCATAGTCTGCACAAGATGGTGTCGACTACGCCGGAGAAGAAAATAGCACCCGGAATTGGCACAAAATAGTGACCCAACAAACCGTGGCCGTAGGAAAACACGACTCGCCGTCCTACATCGACAATCCACACACGACGGCCACGTAAACCGCCGGCGAGAAGATTGTTACCCACGACGCACGACAGCGACCCACAGTTGACTGCGCAGCAACCTCTAGTTAGGTGTCTTCCTTCCCCCCAAACCACCATCGTCTGGTGACCCTCCCGCACTCTTTGCTTCGGCCATCGCTGCAGTGCCCAACCGATCTCCCTTTGCCGTCATCTCTGTGCCTAACCGGATGGTTTTATATATATATATATATATATATATATATATATGGGGTATAATGGTCATTTAAGTAGCTTGATATTTTGAAATAAATAAGATTAAAAAATTAGGGGTAAAGTTGACTTTTTTCATATTTTTAACGGATGTTTTAACGAAAAAATAAAAATGGACCTAAGTGATAATTTTTTTGAAAGATGTTTAAGAGTGATATTTGGCTAAACCTTAAGGGGTGTGAGTGAAATTATCCCAATAATTTTTAAATATAAAGTCAGTTATGATAATCTTGTGTAAGAAGGTCAGAATGCTTTTTTTTTTTTTTTTTTTTTTCACGGGTTGATTACGGTGCCAGTTGCCAAAACGCGCAAAAATATTTAGTTGTTCTATTTTATTCTTTTATTTATTTTGATTTAATATCCATTCGGTCAATTTCCCAAACAACCCAAATAGTGACAATTATCCCCTCTATTATTGTATTTGTGTATAGAAACAGTGGTCAGAGATTCAGAATTTAGCTTGGACGTTAGGTGAAGTGGGCAAATATAATTATCAATC